ACACAACACAGATCAAGGTTACATGGGCCAAACTACACCTATGAAGCATAAAATCCTGATCCTGTGTTATGTACAATAAAATCCTGATCCTGTGTTATTCCTCTTAGCAGGCTAGATGCTTAGGGGAAGTAGAAAGAAAATGAAGACAAGTGAGTAAAGAAAAGTCTACCACTGGGAATCCTAGTCCCAAGCATTTTTCTTAAGGAAATAGATAGGATTTAATGAAGGCTGCTCATACCACTGATTCTTGAGTAATGGATGGCTGACAGAGGAAAGTTATGCCATAGCAGAGCAGCAGCAGCCATATAATAGTTTTATATATATTGCAAGATTGTAGGTCAATGTCTTCCTCAGAAATCTTGAAATGAGCTAGTAAGTTCAGCTATAAAGAAAAGAATTAAGTTCCTCCTGAGCAGGCCAGAAAATTTGCAAGGCTTAAAGTACTGCCATTTTACTCCTTATTTACTAATTTTCAAATTATTTCATTCAATGCCCAAAACACAAAATTATTAATTAGGAAGAGCTCAGTCACAGTAAAAGTTATCAAATTTCCTTAATGCTTTCTTTTCCAAAAGCAATTTGGGTTTTCTACTTTTAAGACCATTATACTCAAGGTCAGATCAGGTGAGAAAATTTCATGCTAAGATTTTCAAGCCATCTTCTGAATTTTGAGTGTTTTCTCCCCTACCAAATATTACTCAAGTATACAATGATGATTTAATAGAATTTCTTTTCAAAACAGAATTTCCAGAGCACCTTTATAACTAATACGAAAACAGAATATCAGATATAGATACAGACTGTTACAAGAATGCACATAACACATAATCCTAACTCATCTTCATCAGTTATTAAAACTTGCAAGTTTCAAACATCTGGTGATATGCTGAATGTCACAGCTGTTGAAAACTCTAGTATTTTAAAGCCTGAGTCATGAAAGCTTAATATCTGTTTGTAAAAAGACATTTCAGTGAACCAGGGTCTTTAGAAGGTGTTACTGGTCTTGCTTTGGATACTCTGAAGCATTTCCAGGATATATACCCAAATTCTTGGCCTGAACTACTTTTGATGAAGACAGAGTCAGTAATCTCTCCTCTTATAGCATCTAAATTAGGTTACTATAAATCATGGATTTATGACAAATGAGATAAACATTCCCAAAATACCCTTTGGCAAAGTGCTTTTGGACTGCAATTTTGCCAGATTTTTATTTGTCTGCAAAATTGTCAGTCTGTAATGTACAGAGACATCATTTAGGTTCTGTCATACTGCACAAAAATACTTTGGTGTGTAGCTCTTCCTATTTGTATAGGTTATGCATGTCAGTGAATCTTGACTTCTTTTTATTTGGACTTATGAACTGCAATGCAGGCAACTCTTAAAAATCTGTGGGTTTTAGTACTGTGTTTCTGGAGCTTTTAATTTTGTCACCTAGAAGATAGGCAACAGATTTCTGTAATCCTCCTTCAAACTCTATCTGCCCAAATATAAAGACTTTTTAAAGGCTTAGATTACTAGCTTGGATTTATTTCTACACAAAGTATTTATCTGATTCCACAAAACTTGATAAAACAAAATTGAAGAGCTGCAGTTATTTTCTGGAGTTGAATTTAACATGTCCTATTACTTTACTGCAAGGACACCACAACTCCCAGTGGTGCCATGCTACTGGTAGGAACTATCTAATAAGGAGGATGCCCAAATTGGCTTGGACTGCAAAATCCAATATTAAAAACTGTTTTCACTTCTACATGCTGAAGCTTGCAAGATTTTAAGCCAAATATAAATTGTTTGAGACAAACAGAAAGCAAATTATTAAAAATGAACTTCATTTTTATAAGGCAGAGCAGAAAAGAGCAAGCGATGTTAATCTGAGGAACAATTTCATAGTGTGTCAGAAGTATGATTTCTGTTAGAAATGCAAAAATTATGCCATGCAGTGCTTACAAATTAACAAAAAAAGTATTATAAAAGTGAAGCCCTGCTGTGTCAAATATGCCACGCAATTTTTGTTCTAATAACAGCAATTTAGGTTAGGGCGTGACTCTTCTCTGATATAGCTGTGCTAGTACAACCCCTAGTGTGGACACAGTTTACTGCCATGAAGGCATTAAATTCATATAATCTATAAAGCTTGTTCCTAAGCAGTAAAAGTATTAAGTAATGCACTGTTATTTCAGCACAGCTACATCCACAATGGGAGGACTGGCTGAGAGAGAAAAAGAGAGGGCAGTAGGTTATGCTACTTTACAACATATCGGGCCAGATGAACAGATGTGGGTTTTGTGTAGAGAAACTGTGGTACAAATCTTTCCCCCACCTCCCTCCATAATCCTGATGTTAATCAGGATCATGATGGATGATATTACAAAGCAGTTATTCAATTTAAATAGTAACATTGCTCTTTGCTTCTTAATTATTAAGAAATATTCATGTAAAATGCTAATAAGAGAGTTATTACAGATATTGACACATGGGTGTTAGTCCTAACCAAACAATAAATACAGGGAAAAAGATATTAGGGTAAAAGGGAGGAAGACCAAAGTTATATACTCTATTTAGGTTTCCTAAATGATATAAGCTAAATTTTGAATAAGATTTATAAATACCATCATATGATAAATACCAATCTGTATTTACTTGACATATAGATATATGTATCTGGTGATCCTAAATTGTACATGTGGGGCTTTCTGTCTATTCTGACACACCTGAATAATTTTAATCCTTTTTTAAAAGTCACTCCATATAAACTAAAAAATATCTTCAAAACTGAAATTTATCCACAGCACAATTAATAATACAATTATATCTTAAGAAACAGTAAACTTGCTCTGAATATATTAAAAGGCAATCTAAAACATGATTCCTTGTTTTTAAAAGAGAAAAAATTCCATCATTTAATACATAATAGTATAAAAATACTCCTACATTATTGTCCCTCTACTTTAAAAAAATAAATATGTATTTATTATGAACAGATGGTGGCCAAGGAAGGTATCAGCTCTATCTCTTAGCCAGAAGGTCAGGTCATGGCTGAGAGACCAAAGAACAATTAATATTTGCTATTCAGTGCCACATAAGATAAAGCATTTCAGGTTTTCTTTAAATACAAATATATATGCAATTGAACTGTTTTCATTTTTTAAAACAAAATAATTTGCACTAACTTATTAACATTTGTTAAAATTTGATTTAAAAATCCCCAGCCAACAGGCAACAACAGAACAAGGCACTCTAACACTGTTCTTGGGCTGCCTTTAACATGTTAAATAATCCTAGGACCTATACAGAACTTTTTGGGTTACTGGAGCCACAGCTATAAAACAGCTGCTAAATACTGAGTCTGAGAATTACAAAATTGTTTGTTTTCCTTTTTTTGAGGAACCAACAATTATATTTGAACAACACAGTAACATAATTACTGAATATCTAATCTTTATCGAATTGGCTAATAATTCTTGCTGATAGGAACTCTCTCTCACATAATTTCACTTTATATCAAATTATAAATCACCACATTTCAGTGTATTCAGCTCCACACTGATTAAAATACCAGCATGTCATCACATGAGGTTAAAATATTTTGTTAAATTTTGTAATTTGTTCAAAAGGCAATCCTCGAGCAAGTTGGAGAACAGGATTTAAAATCCAAGATACTTCTTCAAGTATCTTATTAAACACATCCTGTTTTATTTGTATGCCAAGATTATGCCAACTCTTTTATCTGTGATATCTGTCAAGACACAGACGACAAGCCTGTTTTTTGTTTTTCAGTGTCCCTAGGCCTAAAGGATGCAGGAGTGAAAAAAAAGCAAACCTTGAAAAAAAGAACACTTCAAGACCTCTCTTCTTCTGCGCTGTGTCATTTTCTATACATGGTTGAAGGGTTATTTCACCTAATAAGCTCCTCCTTTGGATTTTACATATATTTTCATTATAACTTGAATTAATATTGCTTCCAGACTAAGCTTGTACTATTAAGTTAATAAACTTACTGTCCTACATGCAGCTTTTGAGGAATTGGTAATTAAAAATTTAATTTTTTAAATACTTCATTTTACCCCTACATATATTCTTATACAGGGAATGATCTGTTCAGTTATTTAAAAGAAAAAGAAAGGTTCAAAATGTGTTGGATAGGCTGCTCAAATAAAAAAAGGCATATTAAAAAAATCATCCTCATGTGCATCTTACATATTTGTGTATTCAGAAGACTCTTATGTGTAAATCAAAACTTAAGAAGGAATACTCAAATTTTGAAGTCCTAGAGGAAAATGGATAGAACCTCAAGAAAAAGGGCACTTCAAAAGATGCAGATTACATCTGTTCAAGCTGTTTGCCAAGTATGTTGCAGGTTACTCTAATAATCTTTCCTACTGCATGGGATGTTTTCTTACAGACTACCTGTAAGGCATATACTGTTTTTTGTATTAATATAAATCCCAGTTTTAGATAAGAAACAGTTAATGCCAAGTGGATTTTTTTCTATTGTTATTTTTTCTAGAAGGCTACTTTTGTTTTGGATTCGTCTTAAACTTTCCTATGAATCCCAGCATTCAGTAACATTGACTCTTTAAAGAAATTGGAAGATAAATGATTTTCATTTTTGGCATCATTAGGTTATGCTTAGAGCCTTTAATGTTCTGTTAGGCTGCATGTATAGGTAATTATGTGTGGATTTATTAGTGAGAAAAAGTGTATAAACACATGTATACATTACACAGAATTTAAGTAGCTGGTATGAATAATATGATAGAGTAATTCTATATGAAATCATGGAATGAGTGATGCGCAAAACTGAACATACCAGGGCTGAAAACAAGATTAAGATAACCAAGAGGTATTTATTTAGCAGTAAAAGCTGGCTTTTTGCCATCAATTTAAACCATTTAACAGTAACAAATGACCACTATTATAAAAATGAATCATTCCAGCTTCTGAAAAAACCCTACTTAGGCAACTAATAACTGCAAAGTTATAGCAGTATTGTCTCTTACCTGGTCCTTAATTTCAAGCTCCCTTATAGTTTTTGTTCTGTACTCTCTGAGCTCCTTTTCTGCCTCATCCTTCTTCATTTTGGTTTGATTCAACTGATAGCGCATTTCTCCACACACCTGTTAGATTACACAGACAACATGATCTGTTAGCTTGAAGAATCCATAGCCCAGGGTTTGCAATTAGATCTTTTGGTGCCCTCTACAGGTCATTGAAATGCAACATATTTTTAATTTACAGATATTTTAGGTCTACAAATGGTAAATGTTTTTTACATAGAAAGGTGGATCTGAATTCTATATATAGTCATTAACTTTGACATGTGCACTACCTTCTAGATTCAAATATATTTGGATCAAGATTTTGCTAAGTATAAATGCTTATGTTGTAAATATCCATCTATCTCTACAGTTAAATGAAAGTTGCTGGTTTTATACTCTTCTCTCATTCTCTGTAAAATCCCAAGAAAGTCTATGTCAACACTTCCAAAGCCTAGAAGTAAAGCATCTATCACACTCCTAATTAAAGGTGTATTTTAACTTGCCAATTTTACACTGTTGAGAAAAAAATTGTTTAAATGTTAACACAATAACTTTCAAAGTTTGATCAGAGCATTACAAACTTACTGCAAACTGAAGACCAATTCTTTAAAAAAAAACCAGTCTAATTTAAATGGAGACATAGTCCAGAAGAAATGGATCAAAGCAACATTTCAGGAAATCACTTCTACACAGGACAATTATTCTCTGCTGTTGGAGTGTTTGTTATATTATCCCCTCAATCCTTTGCATCTGGGATCAACTTCAGAGGAAATGTGAAGGGGTTAAGAGAAAGTGAAAGAAATAAAAAAACATAACAAAACCAGAAGATCACTAATCCCTTTCACATAACTTTACTGCTGTGCAGGGTTATTCTTCCAGTTTTCAATCTAAGCTGTCCTTTTTGTTCTTATCCTGTGCCATCACCTCCAATTTGTGCCTGTTCATTTCACCTTAATTAACCAACCAAATACATGCACATTCCTTAGTGAGAATGCAAATGTGTTTACTCATAGTTCCTCTTAGTCAACTTTCTTTCCAACTCACTCAACTTTCCTGCCTTGCTTATATTCTCTCAGCACTTAAAATGTGCTCCTAAAACGTACACCCTTTTAATTTGCTGCTACAATCCTCTGTGCTTCTCAAAAACATTCTCACATATTCTACAATCCAAATTAATTTATGTTTTTCAGTCTTATACCTCTTCTCATTTTCACTTTTTTTTTTCTCCATAAAAAAAAAGGTAGGGAAAATGTAAATATGGATACTGCAATGAAATCACTCTAGGAAAAAACTAAACCAACTGTCATAACTTTCAAGAAGTAGCATCAATTATAAATTCAAAGGACAACTTGTGAATTTAGCCATTTCAAATAACCCAAAGCAACAAATGCTCTGAAGAATGGCAAAGTTCTAAAGCATTTTTTAAACACTAAAATATTATGTGCAAGTAAAAAAAAATATCTTGAGATGCAGCTGCAGAGCTTGCATAGCTTGCTGGATTTCTACCTCCTCCTTCCTTTATCTGAAGGATGTAACAAAATGTAACATGTCACTTCCTCCAAATGAAATTAAAAAAATACAGCAAGCCTCGCTTTCAGCTCCTCCACACACTGCACAAAGGGAATAACACAGAAGAATCAGCAGATGGTGCTGTCCTAATAATGGATTTTTCAGTCTCCTCAAGAATGAAGGAAATAGAACCTCACTCCATATTTTCTTTCCCTGACTTCTGGTGCATGAAGAAAAACAATATTTTGGATAAAACTCAAAACTAAAGTGTTGTTATTTGCTGGTTTTAATAATGGCAAACTGAGTCAGGAAACAAGGAGTCAGATTCACAAGCAAAGATGTCACATGGCCAATGAAAATGTCAGGGAACATTTCAGGGAACTGAGCTGATGGGAAAACAGTCCCGTCAGCTCAGTGGTTGGGAGATTTCTCCAGGATTTTCAAGACTTCTCAGTTTAGTACAGGGACAGAAATAAAGTTTTCCAGTCTCTCAGGACAGTGAAATTAATAGACTATTGCAAGGTGACCACCTGTTCAACTTTGTATTAACATGAACTGAAGCAGGAACTGGAACCACAGTATCATCTCCAGAGAGGTAACTTCGAATTGGTAGGGCACAAAATTGTTCTTTTCAGACCAATGAATATTTGTACCTACTGCCTATTTCACCACCTCCTCGCCCCTGAAAGTGGTGCTAGTGATTTGTGGACCCAGCTTGAGAGACCAAAAATGTGTTCCAGAATTGGTACATCAAACCATTCTGACATTTTTAATATACTCATTTGTCTTACAGTTAAAATTAAATAAATTTTCTAGTAAGTTGGGATGACTTTTTGCTGTGAATTTTCTGCAATACTTTTGCCTCTTTATATCAGCCAGGGCAGCAGGGGAAGACAGGAACTGTCAAAAACCTTTCCTGAAATCTCTAGAGGCCTGAAAAATAAATTGCTCCTCAAATCCTTGCAGTTAACAACTGGGGAGGTAGGATGAGTCCTGGGATGATTGGTAAGGAATACAGACATTTCAAGAGGCTGTAATAAGTTGGGGGTTTTTTTTCTCATGTTATGACCCTCATTAAGGCTCTAACTGATTGAGAAACATGCAAGAGAAAGCACCCAGGAGTGATGATCTACACAAGATGCATGTTAAGCTGTAATTCTTAACTAGATGTCTTTGTAAGAGCCCTACTATCAATAACACTAAATTAAGCAACATACTACATAAAAATCCAAAGGCAAGAACTTGAAAATCAGTGTTTTGATATAGCTCCCTTCATTGTAGCACTGCAAGTCCCACAGGTGGCAGTTAAGGACACTGTTGAAGTCTATACTGTCTCTCTCAGACCAAACTCAGTTCTTTACTGAAATACTGAGAAAGTGTTTTAAATAGTGACCCTCATAAGCTGCAAAATAGAAACGTTAGCTTCTGCATGACAAGGTGACTTGAAAATGAAAAAAAGTTATTTTTTTACTCCTGCAATTAGAATAGCTGTAGTTGCCTCTGGGATGTTGAGATCAAGTCTACAGTTACCACACATTCCTTACCAAAACAGGAAAATGGACAAGGTAAAAATTCTCTTCTCTCAGGTCACAATGATAAGGAAAAACAAGTTCAATGCTCCTTTATAAATGTGCTTACCTTATTCATCTCCATCTCATGAGATGCAAGCTGGCACTGTGATTCTTCTAACTGGCTAGCTAGAGAATTCTTTTCCCTTGTAATTCTCTCTATTTGGGCCTCCAGAACAGCCACATCCTTAGACAAAGCTGTCACCTGAAAAAGTCCAAGAACACGGTAATGATGCAATTTGACCAACCACAGAGCAAACTCTTGTGGAACTTTCTCCTCAAAAGCAACTGTATATAGACAAAATACATGACATTAAAAAATGTAATAAAAAAATCAAGCATGTACAATAAAAAATATCCATTATTATTAATAATATAACAGAATATGGCTACATTTTTAATGGGTTCACTATTTTAAATTTATTTATCATGCAGTAGTCTATTTGAAACTTTTCATCAACTGCACTAGTCTCCAGGACTTGTTAATATGGACAAGGTGTCAGAAGCAGCTGGCTACATTAGTTTTGCAATGTAAGAGTACTATTTAACACCTTCTTATCTATCCTTATGTAGATTTATTCAAACCAAATTGTGTTCCCCTAGCTAAAGAAAACTGTTGCTGCAAGAATCGATCTTAAATTAATTTTCAAATTCAGAAAATATTTCAACACTATAGGTCAAAGCATACTGTTGTGAAAAACTCATATAGAATTAGTATATTAAAAATTCTACTGTAATTCAGATGAAATTTTGCTGGATGATTAAAAAATATAACAATAAAACAGACAGTGAACCTTCAGCTGTTTAGCCCTGAAGCTTACTAATATAAGTGGAAATAATGGTGTCTGACAGTTCTAGGTTAACTTTCAGAAATTCAAAGCCAAACCTAGTGGATTATATATTCATAACTATTTTTCACTCCTTATACATCCACCTGATTTAACTATCATGGCAATTCTCCCCTTCAAACAAACCATTTCATAAAGTAAGCAATAAAATATTGAGATGAATCTTGACTTGATCCACAGTATACCATTTCTACCATCTCATAATCCTAAAACATAAAAGTAGTTAATCATATGTAGGTGTAAATCATTAGCATAGATCATAATTTTCTACAGTCATCCCATCTCTTTAATTACCAAGCATGACATCATCATAGTGTCACTATATGTTGTTTAATGTATGTGCAGGATTTATTAAAAAAAAAACGTGCACAACTACTTAAAGTGGGAATTTGTTCCAGTAAAACAACTTCAGTGGGTGATGAAATACAAACTAATGTGATGACATAGAGTGAAATATTCTACCAAAAAAAGTATGAAATGCTTGTCTAATAGGCTGTCTTTTGGAGTGAATACACTGCTTTAAATCAACTCTGTAATAAAGTAATTAACTTCATAAAAGGGATAACTTCTAATAGATAGCAAGAAGTCAAACAAGGAATTGCTTAATAATGTCTCCAGTGGAAGATTATTTTTTTAATTTCAGTTTCCCTGGCAACAGATCACTGATGATCTGTTCACATACTTAAAGATCAGTTAGTCCCTATCACTGTGCTTAATATCTGTTTTGGTATCTGGAATTGGAGTCAAAGAAGGTTTTTTTATACACACTTAAATGGTTTATTTTGCTCAGTTTGTGCTCTCCAAATTTTTAGAAATAATACATACAACTTATAAAAGAGTTCCAAAATATAAGAAAAGTGTTCAAGCAGGAGAGAAATTGACTGTCTTGTTTTCAAACCTCCCCCATAAATAGCTGAAGATGTTGCAGATCAAACAAGCATGAATACCACTAATTCATAAGTATTTGTCTCTCTACATTACTTCCCATTTTAATCATCTTAGAAGCCTCCTCTACCACAAGCTTACTGCTGTTAGCTTGAGCTTTCCTCTGTACACTCCATTGTGCAGAAAACCCTCATGTTTTATACTCAAATTACAGCAGCATCTAGAAGCCTAAAACAAGGTTATCAAGACTATCAGGATGGTCGTGGCATAAATGATGAGACAGATTCTGTCTCAGAGAGTTTATCAACATTAGTAAGAGTGAGAAAAGAGATTCCAACACATTTCTGCAGGTGGGAAAACTAAACATATGATAAGATCACTTTGAAATAATGATATGGTAACATTAATGTATATGTAAGATCAAAGTAGCAAAGAATCCTAAATTTGACATTTGCTAACTTCTGAATGCTTGCCATGGCAAACTAAATAATAATTTTTATTAAAAAAAACTAGGTACAAACCTTTCATCACATATTACCTAACCCTTTCTTACTCTGACACAGTGCATTAAAAATATTATGCAAACTAAAATAAAGTGCATAACACCAACAACTTAGTATGTATCTAGTGACATAGCACAAAACCCAGTTATTCAAACTCAAAACATCACTTATCTACCATTGCTTTAAAAAAAAATGGTAGAAGTGACTGAACTCTCACACCCAAAACTAAAAAGAAAAGACAAGTAAATGAAGTTTAAAGAGGATGATACACTCATTGTAATACACAAACAGGGAAAGAACCAACCCATACCATTGCTGCCAAGTCCTCCCTTTCCTTCTTCATTTCCCGCCGCAGTGCTTCTTTTTCATCAGCCCTCTTATTTAGCTGGGCAGCCAACTCCTTTTCAAGATAATTCTTCTGGCGTTCCATCTCACTTTTCAGTTGTTCACAGTGGATGAGAGCCTAAAAAACCCAATTTACTTAAATGAAAGAAACCTAAAATTGTTAAACAAACATGGTATTCATTTAATAACCTCAAAGAAACCAGTTTGCTATTAGAAATGTCTTTTTTATGATGCATTTTTAATGATGTTTATACATATCCTACTGTGTTAACATCTAGAATAGGACTAACAAAATGAAAACAGATGTATATGTTTGTAGGTTTGTATGTATGTTTAAGATGCCTTACTGTAACTGAGAAATTTAATTGCTTTTAGGAATAATGGCAAACATGGAAGCATTTTTCTGGGTGTATTTTCCAAATAAGTAGCTGTTCTTCTAAAATTATGATTACTCATCTTACATTTCAAATTTCAAAATTTGAAATTCCTGAATGCACATCACTAAAATCAGCCTCCAGTATTTGACTCTTTGCAAATACAGTGCTTACTGTCTAACTAAAGAACTGAAGGAAAAATTAATAAAATGTATGAATGTATGCTCTTCCACTTAAGTCTTCTCCTGAAGTGAGTTACTGAGTGCAGAATGCTGAGAAACCTGAAAGCAGTCAGTAAAGATACAAAAACAGACAAATAAGTTTCAGGTTTGTCAAAAATTTATTCTACTAAATACCTCATAAAGTACTGCTTAATTTCAGATGCTAAACCACAGAATTATAGATGGGTTTTCTATGAAAAAAGAAGAAATGTAAGTTGAAGAACTCTCAAAACACTGTCTTCACTATCTTCTAAAAATGCTGGGGGAAAAAAGAAGATGTTTATCTATTTATGCTGCTGTATCTCTGCCAAAGTGTAGAATTTGAGTGTTATGTCAGCTTAAATCAGAAATACACTACTCCGTTGCAAGTAAATCTAAGTATTCAAAGCACCCTGAAGGGAGCTTTGCTAGCCTACGAATGAACTAGATTTAATTTCAACATTCCACTAATATCCAGCATATTCTGTTTCAAAGAAGCTAGTGTATTCTCCCTTTAGGACTTCTAACTTATTACACTTTATTTTCAAATTATTTTTTTGAACTGCTTATTTTTCTTTCACTCAAAGCCAATTCCCTGTGTTTAGTTTTTTTGGCTTTGGACTGTTCATCGGGGGAGCAAGTTAAACTATGTTTTTTAGAGAATGCTCTAACAGCATCCTTCAGTTTTATGGCAATTCTGTGGGACCCTCTTCAGGTGAGAGAATCCCTCTGTTATGGCATTGAATCATTTTCTGTAGGAAAGAATCATCAACTTCAGCAAACAATTGCCTGCATAAAACTGCTGCAGCTTAGTAGGCATCCAAACCAATGCACTCTAGAAGAAAGCAGTTGCATTAGTTGCATTTCAAGAAGAAATGTGTATTTTGTTAGCTCCACTGTTCTGACTGCACAATGAGCAGTTCAAACAATTATTCTTTTATGATATTTGTGTCAAAAATATATTCCTGATTTTGCTTCAACTTAAACATAACATATTTCCTTCCTGCTCTATGCAATAAGCAAGAGGCCAAAAACTATAGAGACAACCAAAAGTCAAGAAGAAATGCTGGGACAACAGGCTGATGAAATTGCAATTATAGTATTTAAAAGCTTGATGTGTTAATTCTCACTTCTGTTGTGTGGAGTCTTCTAGGGGATTCCATGCTAGTTATCAAGAAAAACAGCACTTGAGAGTAGAATAGGACAGGGCAAAAAAAAAAGATGATTTGTACTTACCAAGAGGTATACACCAGTACTTGTAAAAAGGCAAAATTAATGTAGTATAAGTAATTTTTTTTTCCTGTTCTTTCATATTAAAACAGTTTTGGGACATGAAAAAAATACCAAACTACTATTCAGCCTTGAAGACAAACTGGCAGGACTTCACACAATCCTACAAGCACCCACTCTTCTCTTACAGCACTAGATAAGTAACACCAATTTTATGAATAGAACAATTACATCAATCTTGTTTGCATTCAATTACAAAAACCAAACCAAAGCAACCCTCTCTCAATTCCACAGTAATTCACTAATAGTACAGTAGATGTCACTAACTATCAAGGAAATAATTTAGGTGAATATAGGTTGATTGTGTACAGGGCTAACACAAGCATTAGATCAAAACTGGTTTTATCACTATTATTTTCATAACACCAGAAGCTTAGACAAGCTTAGCATTAGACAAGGCTTCTCATCTTCAAAGAGCTGTGATAGTCAGTCAGTTCTTGCACTGCTCTCATCTGAGGCAAAAAATAACTGTTTGCAAGCATTTTAACTATTTTTCCAGAGTAGGTCAGAAGGGTGATGTCAAAATTATCCTCTTACATATCATGAATATCTTTGAAAATTCTACAACTGAATTTATATCACCTAACTGTGAAAGTACATCAATTAAAAAACGCAGCACTCCTCATAGTAGTGATGAGAATTTAGGAACTTGAATACAGAATTCACATTACTGCTCAGAAACAGTCACATGGTGCAGTTGTTTTAAATCTACATTATAGTAAAATATGACAAAGGTCTTATGCAGGCATTCTCTCATTAGCATGAAAACTAATTAACATTTGCATTAGACTGGAACACTAAAAAACTCTAATTTCGTGATGGATTTACCTTTGTTTTTTCAAAATTGGCCTCTTCTGCCATTTGCACAGCATGTTCAACTTGCTTACAAGCATTAGATTCTCTTTGCTGCATCTCTTTTATGCTTTGTCTCACTGAAACAAGTGCATCCATCAAGTCATCTCTTTCTCTGCATATTAAAACAAAAACCAAGCCAGATATTTCTATTTCTTTTTGTATGAGAAAAAAACCCAAACAACAGCTATACCAAATATAAAATACATACAAATAAAAGACTTCAGCAAAGTGGTAAGCAAAGCAAGACTAAAACTCATGAATGAAAGACAGCATATTGCAAGCTTGGCAGATACTGAAAATATCATTTGCTTGACAACCAGTCCTTCATTTTAAAAGGATGGACCATTAGAGAAACTGCCAGTAAAGACAGCAGATCTCAAATCATTAATGTACAGAACCTGAGCACATTCTGTTGACATAACAAAATGGGGATCCATGCAAATAATAAAATAAAGGCAATATGGAATTACACTTTCATTAAATGTAAAAGTGGGAAAAATAATAAAAAGGAAGGGTTAGGTTCAACAATAATCTCAAAGTATATCAAATGACAATCTAAATCCATTTGCTGCAAACTGGAACTAAGTCAAACAATAGGACACCTGGATTCTACAACTCTGCACTAAGACACTGAAATCTGTACTAAATGGTCACGTAGAGTTGGTAAAACTGTAATACTTGACTTCACTTTTTCATTATTGTGATATGTTAAAAGCTTTTAAATTAAGTTTTATCTTCTGTCTGTGGTTTAGGTGCAGCTCAAGATTCTGTCTGAAAACTGTTGTGTTCTTAATGTTGTGTAAAATGGCAACATATTTTTTTGTATTTGCCAGAGACCTAGCAGTCATACTTTGAAATTTCATTTCATTTTTGAATTGGATAAAGTTCCTTTGAAAATTCCTTGTTTTTAACAAACTGCACAACACATACAGGTAGCTTTTAGATTTTTTTAAACCTCCAAATGAAATAATGGTTTAAGATAAATAAAGAGGTCAATTCAAATCTTTTATTTCAAGCTCACCATATATAAGAGAACAAGAATGTTCTGATTTACAGTTTGTTCCTATTTTCCAACACCTGTGACAAATAATTACTTTTGTTACAAAAGTAGATTTTGAAACATGACTTCTCAGCAATAGAGCTTTGCCAGAAAATTTTTGGACTTGCTAATAGAAAAAAATACATAAATCCTGGCAATAACAATCTAGTGCAGAGGGATAGTGCCCACTTGACCAAGTACATGTATGTTCTATGCCCCTTCAGTCTCCCTGCTTCTAACTGACCCACTATTCCATCTCAGGCTCATTTAATACTTCAGAAATTCCAAGAAGCTTCAGATATCTGACAATAAATAGATGGCTGTTTAACAAACTTTGAGAAAGTTGCAGTATCCTATCATTATTACTAGCAAGTAGAAAGGTAGAGTTTTTTTTAAAGATAAATTGACTGGCAGAATTCCTTAAGGAAAAGAATTTAATGTTGGGATCCCTGAATTACATACATCCACCCTATATAGCTTTTTTCTTTTTTTCTCCCTTCCCTTCCCTAGCTGTGATTTTAAAAAAACATTTAAATAAAAGTATACTTTTTTTAAAAATGGTGCAACAAATAATTTATTTTTGTCCAATGGAACTTCTTTTCCCTGTCTTATTGTAGTCAGGGAGGAACTGCTACAGGTGTTGGGGTAGGAAATGCATCCTACCCCAAGCACACAACCTATTGTTGATGTATCTAAAAAGTTCCTCAGAGGTAAAGAGAATAAAGTGGAGCCAGAAAATCTTCCAACTACATAATAATAATGAACTGTTGCAAGAAATAATCAGTCAAAATGCATGGACTTGCACAATATTTGTGCTGACAGAGTGAAGGACTTGTTTGTACAAAAAGTACAGGAAACAGACTGTAAATTGTCTCATTATCTGGTCAGCCCAAGGTACATAATTACATTATAAAAACTAAAATTCTTTCCCACTTGAAATAAATAGCAAAGCTATTGTGGATTTTTGAAGTTGGGACCTACATTCACTGATTTCAGCATTATTACTCCAGCTTGGAGTGTATTGTTCCAGAAATGCATCTCTCTCTACAAATGTAACCCAACACATTGAGACTTGAAAGGTTTAATGCAAGCAGCCATAGCCATGCTTCCTGTCACTGACATCTTTTCATAAAAATCCTTTCTTTAGGATTTTTCCTTCTGGGAAGCTGAGGCCCCAGAAAAAGAATGTAAACAATAGTTATCTGCTGCTGTGGAATGCAACAGGTGCAGCTGTGATTGGCCCATGTTGGATATTTACAATTAAGGGCCAATCAAAGACTGAGCTCTCTCTGGGACAGAATCAGAGAGAGCTCCTTTATTATTCATTCCTTTTCTATCCTTAGGTTAGCTAGCATTCTGAAAACTTTCTCTCTATTTCTTTTTAGCATAGTTATAATGTAATATATATATATATATCATAAAATAATAAATCAAGCCTTCAGAACATGAAGTCAACATTCTCGTCTCTCTCTTCACCCTGCAACCCTTGCAAGCCCTGTAACAGCTTCCAACACAAATCCACACCCCCAGTACCCACCTCGTCAGCCTCTCGATGGTCTGCACGTGGGCATTGCAGTGAGTCTGTGCGAGAATGGCCTCGTGCTGGGCACAGTTCAGGCACAGACCACCAACCTGGCCAGAATTCCTGGCTGCAAACAGGGACTTCTGGTGTTTCAGCCTTCCTTCCAAATCTTTGCATGTCTTCTGAGATTCTGAAAGGTCTTTTCTGGAAAGAAGAAATTTGTGAAATCAGATATTTCTACAAGTCATATTCATATAGAATATATAACTATAAATGTTACCAAGAAAGAACTGCAAGAATCCCTCTAATGAACAGTATTTTACACATTTTCAAGAGGCTAAGGAAGGCTTTAACAGAGAAGTAACAGTTGAACTGCCCAATCAAAATTTTTAATAGACAAAACAATACTGTGTTAATTTGTTTCTTCCCCCATATTATCAGAAAATATTGAAGTTAAACAGAAGTTTATTAGAGGAAAAAACCTGTAGGCTTACATTTTGTCTGAACAGAATATAATATTAATTATTAGGAAAAAAACCCAGCTGTATAAATATTTCAATACTCTAACAATTTCCTGTTGCTTTTATTAATAGTACCACTAACTTCATATTTATTCTGTACTCCCTAGACAAGAAATCAGCACATTCACTCAGATCCAGCAATATACACAACCTGAGGTCAAACACATGTGCAGAAAAACAGGCTAAGTTTTTTACTTGTCTCCAAAATTTTTACCAGGTGCTCAGAAGCATTTTCTCCAGAATTTCCAAGCATGTGTCAGGCTGGGGAGATCGCAAGCAATAGGAATGTTAACATCAGGAAGTTCCAGACAAACGCACACTGTGCACATATAGATCAATTTGACAAATTGTGCAATGAATCCAAAGCTTTGGGTTTGTTATGCAGGCCATCTGGGCAGCACACACTCAGGAAGTCTGACACATTCTGCTTGCATTGGATTTACTGTGCACATGATATATACACTGCGTGCATTCTTATTTCCATCTGGAAACTCTTCTGTGCACTTTTTCCAATTTTAGTACTTGGTCTATTGCATATAACCCACTATAATCTGAACAGAATTTGCTCTGCAAATATCCTTAGACAGTCATGGTGCAACAAACCTATTGCTGCAAAGTTTTGGACAGAAATCAGCAAGTCCTGTGTACACACATCCTTGAAGTTAAAAGGGAAGCAAGAATTATATCACTGAAAGTGATATAATTTCTCACTTCAATAAAATTTAGTTTTGCAGAGCCTCCTGTTTGCAAGATCATGCCTCTTAGGAGAAATCAGAGGCTGAATAATGTACTTAAGGAACTTCTGAGACAATCCCCAATGATTACTTTTGAGTAAATATAACACTTGAGGCCAAGGGGGGAAAAAAATTGGATCATAACAGCTGAAATTAAAGATCTTCCTTTACCTTCACTAAGACAACTGGCTTTGTATGTTGCTGGTTTCACCAAAGCATTCTTTTAACTTGTCTCCCTACCAATAACTCTTTTTACAGAGCAGTCTAGCATTTTTAAAAATATGAAACCACAATTTATTTAGAGAAAAACATGATAAAACAGTAGTAGAAAGTAGCTAGTTATGGAAGTTGTCACACAAATTAAAATTGCAACCTCTCTTTTTTCTTTGAGTGGTCTATCTTACATGACCTTTCTTAGGGGAAAGAAGGTAAAAAAGATAAGATGTTTTATATATATATATATATATGCATAAATATGTATATAAAAAGATATATATATGTATAAAAAAGATAAGATGTTGTGTATATATATGTATATATATATATGCTACTGTTTCTATAAAGAAGCAGTACATTCAATTTTGCTACATCGATATTTGAGAGAACTTAAAAGAAAACCAGTTTTTAGGGATACTATCAGAAGACACAACATTCAGACATTCAGGCATTCTCTTAGTTAAATTCAGATTAAGAGTGATTCATGCTGTTATGCAGTGACAATTTTTTAAGGATTATTTTAGGAAAAAAAAATTAACTTTACCTTAGAGACTGTATTTGATCATCAAGGATATTGACTTTTTCTTGATAAAGAAGTTTTAGATTCTCCTTTAGAAAAGATGGGAGAAGATATGTCTTGCTTTCTTCATAACAGTCTTTACAAATAAACCTAGACTTTACCCACATTCTTTTCCCCTGAGGACATAAACCTGTTGAAATACTAGTGGCAGAGAAACCTAAATATTTCACTTTTCTGGAAGTCTAAAAAGTGAACAACCCTCCCATTTTTTTAGTTTCTAAATAAGGTTTTTTGCCAGATCCTCATATGGTAAATTGTTTCAATTCCAACTGCATTCCTCAGTTCTCTACAATGATTCACAGAAACTGATAATCATGTCTCGAGTTTGCTCTTGCTTTCCCACAAGTCAGCAGATATTAATACATAATTATTAAGAACTTCAATTACACAGACTATTTATTTATAATGCAGTGAGTTACTCTTCATATACCTGGTGAAGAACTAGGTATATGAATCAACCACACCCATGTTAAATACAATGGTGATAACAAAACCAGATAAACACTACGAATTTAGCTCACTGTGGCACTTAGCACAAAGTTACAATCAACATGATTCTCCTGATTTAAATGTGGCAGATGAAGAAAAAAGCAATTACTGTAAAACACTGCTTCCAAACAACTGCAGGCATCAGTGATCACTGAGATCTTCAGCTACAATAGTATAAAAAACCCCAAAACAATATATTTATATGAAAAAACCATCAAATCCCATATAATTGAAGTACCATATAAATTCCACAGTACACAAATGCACATGAATAAAATATATCAAAATTTTTCAATTAGCCAAGTTTTTTCCCAAAAGATAGCAAAACTACCCCACTACTTCAGAGCAAAATGAAAATTAATATCCTCTGAAACTAAAAATACATGAAGAAACAACATCATCTCTAAATTACTAGGACTCCTCTGTATCTCTAAAATCACAAAGTGTGTAATTCATCTTAGGGAAAGCAGATTGCACAAAACTACTTTTGTACCTTACTCAGCCTGTACTGCTCCAGGAGCAGAACAACTCATTATGAAAAGAGCTTGTGTGGAGGGCTACATAAATTACACCAGCTAATTCCCACCTGCTTGGGTGCTGTGTTACACCTAAGATTCTCCCAAGTACAGTGAAATCATCATCTTTAAACAAGAATTATCTCTGGGAAGTCATCATCTGCAGATAAAACCTGCCATCTGTGTCTAACTGCACAATAATATTAATTAGGGTATAATGAGAAGATGAGGTTTAAGAGAATAAAATTTGGGCTCAGATTAAGGTTCAGTCAACTAAAACCTCTGTGTCTGTTAAAAGCCGATCATCAGAACTGGAACGACAGCAACAACAACCCTGAAGAGTTTTGCAAAGGTAGGAGTCTGAAGAAAGGTGATACCAACCAGTTCTACAGGCCATCTGGCTTTGTCTCCAGAAGCTGGTGCCACAAAAGCCTGATCTCTGTTTTGTGCCAGTGAGGAGGTGACAGGCTGGTGGGTGCTATAGCCTTTACCACCTACAGGCCAGGATTTCTGAGTATTTGCCTAAAATGAAAGTATTAATGCTTCAGTTATCATTATGCAGGCTGGTTTTATAAACATATTTCCTTACTTAAGTATTGAACATTATAATCTTCAGTAGAATATAAGAAACAGTAAACAATATTCATAGAATATAAGAACCAATAAACAATATTCATTATATTCTACTGAACAATCCTCAGAAACAATAAACAATTTAATTAGGTTAGCAACCTATGAAAATTATGTTACCCAAGGAAATCCATATTTACAAATTCTCATTAAATTTTGACTAAAATTCCATTTGCAGACAACCATTTGTATACCCTTCCATAAAAATAATCTGGCCAGATCCTTGAGGACTGATTAAAGCAACAAAAAATAAAAACTTACTGAGGCATCAAGATGAGTTTGTTCTCTCAACATGTATTCTGCAGTTAAGAATTTCAGCTTCTGATGGAGTTCCTCATTTTCAAGTAAAACTGCCTGTTCTTGATCTTTTACACCACACAACTCCTCCTATAGGATGAAGGAATTGCATTTAAAAGGTTCCTTAAGATGGCTATCAATATTGAAATGTATCTTGACACCAAGGGTCTAGATGAACATTTTCAAAAGTTTTAACTCTTTTAGAGAGACTAAGAATTTGCAAAAGAGAGATTTTGTATTTTTGCAGCTTAAATTGCTATAAATATTTTTAAAAATTGCTCATTTGTATTAGCAAAAATGTCTTTAAAGACCCCTAAATACCAGATACTAAGACACAGGGTAAGGAATCTACTGAACTGCATTTGGCTCAGTTTTGGTCATTATAGCAATCAATCTCAAATTTAAATGTAAGCTGCTTTTAATGCAGTTCTTCACATTTGGGGGACCAGGGTTTTAGTAGGTCAAATAAGTTATCTGATACCTTGTAAAACTTCACTTCTGCTTCCAAATGTTTAATGTACTGTGACTGATCAGAGATTACAGGAACAAGATCGAAAAGGGCTGGTAGGTCTGCAGGCACATCTTCTGGGGGCTTCTGAAGGAGGTAAAGAACAGCATGTGTTATGTTCTGATTTTCCATTATTGCAGTAAGACCTTGCTTGCACACAGAATACAACCTACAGTTTTCTGGTAAGGCTTCAAAATGCACCCAGAATGGTTAATGGAGTCTTCTCCATTAACACTAGTTCACACTTCTGAAGGAAAACAAGTATCTTTATGAATATTCCCATTTTTGAACCTCACACAATCCTAGCACCTATGATTTTGGGTCACAAACATGCCTTTTTCTGCAAAAATATTCCATTATATATTTCCTAATTATAATTGAAGTCTAAAAGAGATCAAAGATTCAGAAACCTACATCCTTGTTTTTAAATATTACTTTTGAAATATTCACCATTAAAAAAAAAAAAACACAAAAAAATCCCAACCAAATCTGAACAAAAACCCCACAAAGCAAAATAAAAAAAAAGGAAACCAAGTTACGAATGGCTATTACATGTACTAGTTATCTTATCTACAGGTTCTGCCAACAATGCATTAAAATTCCTTGTCCAATCCTTCTAAAGGTATAATTCTTAAATTAGGATGAGGTGAAAGTTTCTAGCAACAAAAACCTTACAATCCAATTATACCAAATGTAAGTATTGCCTTATAAAGAGGGGGACACTCTTGAGATATCTGGAACCAGGATTGCAGAGACAAATGGAGGATACCCAGAACTATCTGAAAAAAACATCCCTTTAGAGAAGGAATTCCAAATTTGCCACATATTCCGCCTAGCTCAATAGACATAAGCTCCATGTTCTATTGACTCAGAATTCATCCTGATTTAAATTCTTAATCCTAACTATTTTATAAATTAAAAAAAAAAACAAGCCACGCTTGTTAAAGTATATATAATATAGCCTTGATAATATTTGTAAGTCATCTGTTTCTCTGGCTCCTATTCATCTATCCCTCTTCTCTGAAAATGTAATGAACACCTTGCAGCTGAGACTTCCAGCTGCCTCCCTGACAAGGTTACACCACAGCAATGTTAGAAAAATGTGGAGAAACTCCATTTCTATTCAGATTATTTTTCACTGAAAAACAGTTCTAATGTATAAATTGAGAAACATCACTGTAATGTAAACAATAGTGCTAAGGAATTTTTCACTAAAAAGAAAATAACAGGTAGTATATTTTCTCAACACAAAAAGATCTCTGTGACTTTTTTTTTTTACCTTTTTAACAACATAATTGTTATAAACTAATTGTAAATTGATTTGGAATTTTTTAATTAATGTTCTCACAATAACATGTAAGATGGTGAAAGAACAGCGGTCAGAAGAGGCGTGATTTTAAATCTGGCCAACTATTAAAATCAGAACTGAAAGACACATCTGATCAGTATGAATTACTAAACAATTATGCCTGAGTCTTGGAAATGCTGTTCACACTCAAATACTTAATACCAAAAAGGATTTTTAAAATATAAATGCTTAGCAGCTCTGGAAGCCAGCATTCAGCATGGTGACAAAGAGTTTTGCCAACATCACAAATAATTTAGCCCACCTTGTACTTTTCCAGAATGTCTCAAATCTCAAGCATCTAAACCACAGAATTACAGAAACTCTGCCATCCTATAAACTGGCAGGAGACAAGAGGAATCCATCACATCTCCAGCTATAAGAACAGTGTCAGGAACAGAGGCTGGGTACAGCTAGGTTAGCCAAAACCCAACTTGCAGAGCTGCAGTTGTTATATGAAGCAATCTTGCTGGGCCTTGACCTCAGGTGATAAAGTGTAGGGCAAAAGGAAAACTTCTGCACAACCATCTGGGTGTAATCAAAGAAAGGATTTAATAATTTGGTGTCTATTGCAACTTTAATCTATGGGAAAGAAAAGGGAATTTAGTTGCAACAATTTTATTTATATGTATGAATTGTGGTAAAGGTTACTAAAGTTTTTGTGAAATGTTGTATTTAGCTGTAGATCCTGCAGTCATTTCCTATTCAGCAGTCATCAGGTATTTCAGCATCACTCAAAGCAAAAGGTTAAGGTTACTCATAATCTAAGTTTGCTTTCCTTGGCCTTTGGAAAATTGGATTCTTCTTATACAAGAAGCATTTCTGCTGTGTCCAGTAAATCACTGGACAAGCTCATATTTTATGAGGGCTTGGGCTTATTTTTGGTGTGTGTGCACTTTTGCAGTTTAACATTTTTTTGAGCTTTACACATGGTCTGCCTTCAGAACACTTTCATATCCTCAAGCAGATGGAGGACAGCTTCAAAGGAGAGTAAAGGCACCACTTCACAGAATATCTCTCACTGGAAACTTCAAGAGGAAAAAATGGGGCAGTACTGTACCAATACAGTAAATTCCCATTTTTTTCTCTGTTTATTCCTTCATTCTTTGATCCTCTCCCTGAAAGCACTATCCCAAGTTTCTTAGATAAAAGTATTCCATTTTCTAAATTCTCCACTCTAGTAAAACTTCCCAATATGAACAGAAAACTTCACCAAAGATGGAATAAAAGATTCTTTCCCTCCTTTCCAAGGCTAAATACAAACTGATACCAATTCAGGTCATGCCAAAGCCATCCAATGATCCATCAATCCCTTGAGCTACAAAACACTAACTCTTTCCTATGCCATTATGAGGCAAAATGCCTGGCAGGACAACCATCCTAAACTCGTGGATCTTAGAACACTCAAAGTTAACTTTAAATAAAATTCCTTAACATCAGCACAGCAGAGCTACGCTCATTACACAGGCTGAAAGCAACACAGCAGGAATACAGCTTTTAGATTATTCTGCTGTTAACTTTGACAGCAAAGAGCTGCTTGCCTTGCTTAGTATAAGCCAAAAATATTCAGTGTAGGGCATCAAAAGATAAAACTGCAGCAGTGCCTTTGAATTATTTTTCTGTGGAGATCCTAGCAACTCTCAGCTGCTCTGTAACTGAACAGTGCATCACACGTACTGTGGTGCAGTTCTGCTTCAATGAAGCAGCATCTGAGAAGCCCTTGTAAGGGGCTCCTTGTAAGGGAGTAAACAAACTTTGACAGAGACCACTGTATTTTGGCAGAGAACTACAAAACCTGTTTTTGCATGAACATCTCTAACTCTTTCAAGGTTAAGCATAGTTAAAGCATAAGAAGGACACTGAGAATCCTTAAGGTTAGTCAAAGGAAAAAAGAGCCTGTTTTTTCAGAAATTTTTCTTTGTTGTCTATCCCAAGTGTTTTCAGAACAAGAAGGATGGATGACCACACTACATGGTCAACAAAAAGAGGAGAAAAGTATAAACCCTCTATTATAGATTCCTTTTTCTTCCATTATGGTCATAGCCTCAGGAGGCTCCCATATTTAAGACTGTTAAAATGATTCAATGATTCCTTTTTTCTCTTTATACTATAAAATCAACATGCATGACATTTATTCAAACACAAATGAAACCAGAAAAACATACATGGAATGAATTTTTCCTTCTTGAGGGAGACTCTTCGCTTTCCATTCTTTCTTGGTGTTGCAACAAAATTTTAAGTTGGTTAACTAGGAAGAGATAAAAACCATTATCATCAATAAATAGTTACTTTTTTCATTGAAATTAGTATAATTTCTAACAATGTTTTAGCCATTTGCTTTCAGAGCAATCTTACCTGCATGACTGTGCTGCAGTTCCTGACTGGCTGCAGTCCCACAGTCATCACTGACCCTGTCTGCGTTGTCACTGTCCTCATCCACTGAGGACTGGTCAAATCCAGTGCCATCACCTTTTGCCAAGGCATGTTTTAGTTGAGAGATGCTTTCACTGGCACGCTCTAAAAAAACCCCAACCACATCATTAGCCACAAGAAGCAACATAAAAGAAAGGATTTACTGGCTATTATTTTAAATGGGAAAAAACATGAGAGAACTACAAGCATTCAGCATGTGTCTGGCTTGACTACTTGACCGAAACTCAGCCACTGGAAGCAATTATCTAATGCAAACAGCCAAAAAACCTATGTAAATACTAATTTTCCAGAGAAGAGCTAAACATAGCATCTTAGCCCCTCAATACATTAGGACTCTGCAGCAGCACAAGTAATAATATACTTGACTCTAAAATATTTCCCAGCATATGCACCTTCCATACTTTTCAATAAACCTAAAGCTCATGCTATATTTTCTACAATATGCAGGATTGGAAACCAAGAAAAAATGTTTTTGCATTTTAGTGATGCCACCACACATTATTACAAAGCAACATATCACACAATGAAACAAATACCTGAGTAAATAAAGTAATAACTCAGAAAACCAAGCCACCATAAAATAGTTAAATAAAGACCAATCACTTCTGAACAGCGTGAAAAATAAATAACACCACACACTATTCTAGAAAAAACACCCAAAAAACACAACAGAAAACCTCTATCCACATAAATATAAATATTTTCAAGAACTGACTTACTGACAGATGACACACTAAAGGTCTTATCTAATGTTCAATATATTTTTTCTTTGTATTCTTTTCTAATTTTTTTCTTGGATTCAGCTGACTTCATGAAAATCATAAGCATATTTTAAACAGTCAAAATGTAGTAAAACAAACCTAAATACCATTTACAAGGCAATGACTCAGAAAAGAAGGGTTTAGGTCAAATATTTCACTTTTGGCATACTTAAGCTCTTCTTCCTTTCTTGAGCATTCCAGGATGCTATGAGGGTGGAAGAGCTAATTGAGAAATGGCAGAAGTATCTCACTGATGCAATGGCTTAGATATTTAGCAAACTATGTTGCAATTATTTTTTGTCAAGAAGTGTTCAATGTCATTTAAGTTGTCATGTGGTGTGTCATCTGAGAGCATTAAAGTTCCTTCATTTCCCCATTCCCTGCAGATGTCTGCCAGAGAACCCCAGAGTACCAGTATTTGCTCTCTAGCCAAGGGACAAACAACAGAACAAACCAAACCAGAACCAACCAAGCCCATATATACTGGTTTTCCCAGAACTTCTCTCTCTTTGTAGTATTACAGCTTCTGAACGCCAAGCTACTACTTCATCCACAAAGATAACAGAGATCTTCTTACACCCTGTCCTCTTTCCCCATAAACATACAGGCCAGTAGTAGTGAACCACAATAAAACCATTATCAATGGCACACTGATGCCAATTTTTTTTTTTGACACCACTTTCCTGCCTCTGAAATAATGTCACCATATTCTGGAAAGCGTCATCAAGTATTTTCTTAAATTTCTCAAAATCTTGCCTATTTCCAAATTACTAATGTTGCTGTCATAGGCATAACACTCTCCACTGGGGAATTGGGAATTAGGAGGTCCCAGTGGTGTGGCTTTACATTCACCCCATACAAGAGGATCCAACACTTAGTTCAGTAAGTAAGAGTAGTAAGAGTTGAACTGGATGCCTAAAAGGGAATAAATACATTACAGTATTTTTTATTTCCAAAGTAAGGAACATAATTTTGAGCGTTAGGATAAAAGACAGTATATCAAGGAGTGGAAAGACTATATTTGTTATTTCTTACAAAGCAAAAATATTCTTTTTAAATAGTAAAGTAATTTTAAAAAACCACTGTGGATGCAAACTACAGGACAACAAAGAAAATGATTTTTTTTAAATGAATTAAGAAGCAATTAATTTTTAAGTCTCCACAATTCCATCTAACTGTTTCAGTTAAGCTACTCCTGTAATAGTATATTTTATAGAAACATGGCCTCAAGTGAAAACATACTTCAAAACCTGCTCACATGCAGCACTATGATTTGCATAACAAAATCAATCAGCACCTGTCTTTTCAATGTCTGAACAAGACTCTACAAATAAAATCCAAACATGTATTCCTGTACTATGCTAAAACATCATTGAAGTGCTATTTCTATTGGAACAGCTGATGATATAATTGAATTTGGACTCATGTGGATTGAAACTTCAAAAAAAAACCCCAACTTACTATTAAGCTCTTTGGTTTTCAGTGTTCAAAGGATCTGAGATGATTATGAAAAGTGACAAGTTAGCACCCAAATCTGATGGATCAAACTCAATACATTAAAAAAAAAAAAAAAAAATCAGTGTAACACTGATTTTTAACACTGAAGTCAAAACAGGAAAAAAATCCAGAAGGCATTGAGTCAGTTTAGCATTGCCTAAACAAGAGATGTTTTCTCAAGCACTAACTGCATAGAGCTCTTTTTTTAAAGAGTACTCCTTTAAATGAAAGCACCAAAGCTACCTCATTCATGGACTCAGAAATGCCATAGAAAATACTCTAGGAGCAAAAGAATCAATCATCCAAAACAACAGAATTACAACAGAATTGCCTGAAAGACATGGAAAATAAGTCCAGCTGGTAGAACCATTAAGCAGCATAAACTGAAGAAAACAAATGGCAGCTCTATGAAAAAGTTGTCACCCAAACCTAACAGTCTGGTTCTAAGAATGCCTACAAAAACATGAAGTTACTGGCTATAAATTCAACAAGTGGCATCACTTGCCATTATGGTTCCCAATCAGCAAACAGCCTTAGAAAATTAGAGAAGGAATTACACTGATTCTTTAGGTCTTTAAAAAACCCTGCAGAATTTTTGTGAAACAGTAACTGACAAAACAGACAATTAGACACACTAGCGAAAGCAGAAAGATTATAGCCATTTAAAGAAAACTTTCCTGTCCAAAATAAGATCAACATTTGCTTCCAGTGACAGCTAAAAAACTATAAATAATAAAAAACTTTTTGTGTTTAGCACATCTTGGAACACATCTTGGAACACATCTTGGAACTTTACTTCCCATTCTGACATCCAGCTCTTCTTCTTTCTTGGCTGCCAAACACAGGCATGTTACTGTGGAAGTAACATAGTATATGGCAGTTTTGAGACTAAAAGTATCCTGTCTATCACTACCTGTGCTGCTAGGATTTTACACGCAGCAATGAGCAATACCAGGCTGTTCATTAGTCAGGCCTCAAAAGATCCCAAGATGTGTGAAAGGCTCAGCTGCTCCAAAATAATAAATCCTTCTGATTTGGTTTCTTGGTCTCTTTTTTTTATGAGAAATAGGTAATTTTCAGCATAATTTTTACCAGGTTATCATCTTTAAAAGCACAGCTGCAGCAGTCATTGTCACAAGTTCCTACACCAGCCCTTTCTGCAGAGCATTAAGTATTTGACTAAGTTCTAGAAACCCTCACATGTGAAAACCTCATTGCCAAGTTCCTTGTGGCAGATTCCCCACCTTTAAAAAAACATTTTATATTCAGAAGAATACCTAGAAACATCTGCCAAATAAAAATAAAAGGCCTAAGCAAAAAAAAAAAAAAAAAGAATGTAATTCTAAGCTGCTTCAGTGTGACAGCTAACTTGTAGTGATGGAAACTGGGCCATATACTCACTTTTCCTAAGATGGCTTTGACTTCCCATCTCTCCTGTTTTATTTTTGGAACCACATAAAACAGCCGTAAAATGAAACTTTATTCAGAAAAATCTTATCTTGTCATCTGTTTCTCTTAGGGTTTCATCTCCATTCTCTGAAATTATGTAGGACACTGCACTCAGCAATGCAGTGGAATACAGAATGTATTTTCCACAATACCCTAAGATAGACTTGAGGTAGACAAGTGTATCAGGCTCAGTAACAATCCTAAAAAGGATTGTTTGCCCCTCTTTTGCTCCTGCTCTTTCACTGTCTCAGGTCCAACAGTGAGCCAGTGCTCTTTACTGAAGAGGCAGAAAACTCAACATAAAGATATGAGCTGATAGTTCTCTGTTCAAGAAACCAGAAATATGCTCAAAACAAAGAACTGGACTCTAAATAGTCTTCTCAACTTACTGCTGTTAGGATAACAAGGGAAAGTCACAGGAAGACATCACACTCTGCTCTTGGCAGTGGTGCAGTAGAAGGCCCATTGGACATTCACATTATGCCTGTCAATTTTCAGTTATTAATATGAATACAGCAGCTTGCCACTTATTCTCATTTACAAAGTACTTCTACTCCCTTGAGAACTTCTTATTAGAAATATTATCTCCTAAAGTTTTTAAGGTACATTTGAAATTGTCTCAATTATATGAAAGTTTACACAGTAACCAAATAATCCCAACTGTACAAATACCACCCTCTTAACTTAGTACAATACATAGCATTAAAGACTTTCATTATACAAGGTCAGGAAAAGCTACATTATAGAACCTCTGTTATTTATCAAAGCCTCTCTGTTGAGCTCTAAGACCACTTAGGTCTTAATCAGGTTTTTTTGGTCCAGATTTCTGCCCTCTGGCCACCAGACTCAGTTTACGGAACACTCAGGCTCCCTGTCTGCTGAGGCATTTCATTTTGCAACAAAGGACACTGCACTGAAATAACCAGTTGGTCTTTGAGAACTTCAGCACCTTTCCATCAAACTGAGTATGGCTGTAAAGTGATTCTTCTGGTGTCCAGCATGGGTGGTGAAAACCTGTTGCCATGAGCTCAGCCTGCATCCAGATAATGTCAAGCATTACAGGCAGGTTAAGAATGCTGTATTTCAAAAACATTAAATATTAACATTAATCATGCTTATGTGGCCCAAAGCATGCCACATAAAATTGCAGAACCCAGATGACAGGGTCATCCCAATGGGGAGAAAAATCTCAAGCTGTATAATAATACAAGAGAAATAGGTAAAGCATTAAGTTTGACAACTTTGATGACCTATTTATCCTACAGTAAATTCCTAACACTGGTAGTAATGATGTGGGAAATGCTTTACAGCTCAAGGGAGTTAAAAATTGTACATCACTGAGAAAAAAAAAGAGGTTCTTTGAGAAACACAATTAAATTTAGGTTATATTGCCCCCGTATTGGGGTTGTTTGTGCATCATCATATTTATTTCTTCATGAGAGGCGCCCCCAGATATATGAAATCAAAACCACCTTGGCATCGTATGAAAAGAAAATTATTGTTTCCAAGAATGTAACGGGGAAAGGCTCACCAGAAATTCAGGTTATGAAATTATTTAACAAATATAACAGATCCAGTGTAAGAGGATCCAGTCAGAAAAAGATAAAATGAAAATAAGTTGTATGAAGGGATACATGCATCCAATGCATCCATTAGATATGGTCAGCTCTAACAGTCTCACACACAGTTAAACAGCCCTGATATTTGTCAGCCTAACTGTTCTGCAATGACTGTTACCTGCAAGTGTCAGGTAGCATTACCATACCCATTTCATCTACAGGAAAAGTAAACAGAAATCATTCCTCAAAGTTCTATCTTGGAACAAAAGAAATCTATCGCTAATGTAACGAACTGACGCTGCTTCGAAAAGGAAGTAAAAAAATATTTGCTGAGAATCGAGTATCAAGTAGCTATTTGAAAATGTTTCCATGTTTTATCCTTGTTTCTTTCTTCTTTTGGCAACGTTGTTTCCTATGGCACAGGAAACATGCCAACAGGCCATGTGGGGGTGCTGTGCTCGGAACACAACTTCTCGCACCAGCAGGTTCGCATACCCACAAACTATCCGCTGGCTTTCTTCAGAATTCGGACATTTACCTTGCCCAGCCAGTGACAGCCTGAAGGCAGGCAAGCCCAGGTGTCACGGTGACAGGTTCAGGAGCTCTCTGTCGGACTATACACCGCGCTTCTTGGACAAAGCGGCACGTATGAAACCACTCGCTGACACGGGAAACAACCACGCGCATCAGAATCCATTTGTACCCTCATCTTTACGACGACTAGAATCCGATGGCCAAACCCCTCATACGAACAGAACCGTCCCCGGAGCGGTCCTGCCCGAGCCGCGTTACGGTCAGACGCGAGCGTGTCACGGCAAGAACGGCGCCCGCCATCGGCTGTGGGGACAGCCCGGCACAACTTCCCTGCTGCGCGCCCGTCCCAGCCCGGCCGGGGCGCTCCGCGGGACGGGGGCAGCCCCACACCCGGGCGCCCTCACCCCGCGCCCGTGCCGCTCACCTCGGAGGCGCCTCTGGTACCGCTCCAGGGACTCCTCCAGGGCGCGCTCCCCGCGGGGCTCCCGCATCGGGACGCCGCTGGCCGCCGGGGAGCAGCCGGCGCTGTGCGCCGGCACCGGGGGCTCCCCGCGGCGAGGCTGGGGGACGGTAGTTCCGCCCGTTCTACCTTCCCGCGTTGGGCTCTCGGAGGAGCCACCTGCGGGGATCTCTCCGGCTCCTGGTGGCCGACCGTTGCCGTCGGCCGCCGCAGCTGAGACTAGCCACGCCAGGAATCCGTCGCGCTTCCCGACGGCGGGAATGCCGCCGCCGGGACTACAAGTCCCGGCGTGCACCGCGCCGCCGGAGACAGAGTCCCCGCCCACCGCCCACCCTCGGCAACCGGGAAAGGGTGGTCGCCACAACCCGTCTCCCCTTTGTTGTGGATCGCGGCCGCAGTCGCGCCTGCGCACAGCACAGCCCATCCGCCTACGCCCTCGGGCCTGCGGCGGGCTCAGCGCCGGTCCCGCCACGGCCGGGGCGGATCGGAGCGGGAAGCACCGTTTACCTCCCGCCATCGCCTGCGCGGGGAGCGCCCGCAGCCCGGGGAGCGCTATTGTCTGCGGGCGGCGCAGGCGCACGCGGCCCCGCCGCCGCCGGGCTCCGGCGCGTGCGCAGTGCGGCGCGGTGCCGCGGTGCCGTTAGCCGCCGCTATGTGCAGGGAATAACGCCGGGGCCGTTGCCAGAGGGACACCGAGCGCTCCGCCCTCGCTCCCGCATCCCGCGGGATGCCGGCCCGCTGAGCACCCGCTAGCGACGGCCCCTCCCCGGCGCGCGAACCTCCTCGGAGGGGTGAGTGAGGATGATGCTGCTGCCGCCGCCGCCCTGGGCTGCGGGTCGGGCGGGAGCCGTGGCGGGGAGAGGGGCCGCGGTCCGCCCGGTGCCTATTGTGTCCGGAGGTGCCCGCCCGCCGGGAGCCGGGCGGGCTGCGGCCGGCGGAGGGGGAGGCAGGACGGTGTGGGTACAGCCCGCTCCCCCTCCCCCGTCCCCGCCGGGCCGGGAGCTGACTCCGCGCCCCCGCGTCCCTTTCCCCTCGCCAGCGCCGGGCGATCGCCGGTGCCGGGGGGCATCGCCTCAGGCGGGACGCGGACGGCATCCCGCATCCGGCATTCGGTGCTGCCGGATCCCGCTGCCCGCGTCTCCCTGCCCCTTCGCGCCCGCGGGGCGCCCCCGGCACACCCACCCCCGGGGCTGCGCAGCCTCCCCTCCCGCGGGCGGATTTCCGCGGTTCCTGCGGAGACGTTTCCAGAGGTTTAATTTTTTTTTGGGTGACCTTCTTTCACTGCCTGCCCCGGGGCTGGAGGCAGCGTGTTTCTCCGGATTTAAAAATCAGTGACGCCCTTCGTCTGGGATGCGGCGTTTCCCCCCATCTCCTTAAAATAATGTCTTCTGTGAAAGGGTGATGGAGAAAATCTGCGGGTTTCGCCTTTTCTCGTATTGCGTATTTCCAGCCGACGAGTCAGGTCCCCTGCTTCCGAAAATATCCTCCCGAAGGCGTGAGCTTTTCCTTTTTTCCAGGCGCTTCCCGGGAAAAACACGCAATCAGGGTTTTTGTCCCCGGCGGCGAGGAGCAGCCGGGCCCACTTTGTGCGCCCGCCGTGGGGACGAACGGGTTACTGCGCTAACAAAAACCCGATGGCGATGTTCGAGCAGAAAGCGGCGTCGCGGCGGAGGAAGCGGGCGGGAGGGGCGGAGCGGGGCGGGGGCGCGCCCCGGGGCAGCGGGGAAGGGAGCCGGGAGCCGGGCGCCGGGCGGGCACGGCGAGCGCTGCCTGCCAGCCAGCCCCGCCGGCCGCCCTGTGCCGAGCGCCTTTCCAGCACAAGCCGACAATTAGCCCATCAGTGCTCGCGGCGTGATGGAAAAAAAAAAAAGAGATGTAGATGCTATGCTGATGAGTTGTGTGTACATAAGGATTGCGTTATTGTGACAGGAGATTAGATAGCATCCACTGATCTGCACTTGGAGGAAATTATTTTCTTCCCTGTGAAAGCAAAGGTACTCATAAAATATTTAAGTACTTTGAAAGAATAAAGCCTGTTCTAGCACTGCGATGATCATGTTTTCTCCTTTGGAATGCCATTCAGTGCTTTGTGACAGCGTTTCTGGCCCTGGGCTTGTGTCTGCAAAATGATATGTGGGATGGGACAGTTTTTGTAAACTGAACGGAGGAGACATGATTACATATGCTGTGATTTCCTATGATTAATTTCCTCTAGGAATTACTTTTTGTCCAGATGCTGAGAAGTCCGTCTTGCTAAACTCTGCTGATATGGAAGCTCCTCAACTTTCAATTTTATTTAACGATGAAAAAGTTAAACACAAACACTGCAAAGAATCTCGCTTAATTCTTTGATTAACACTTTTTAAAACACTTTTTCACCTTCATGTAAATGTTCTGTTCTTGTTGGCTTTTTTTTCCCCTTTGTCTGATAGAGGTTAGGAAGGCTGGCTGAATAGAGAGAGTAGTGCAGCTGGGGATACAAGGAATTTTGTCAAAATCTCAAGAATCTTGAAGTTATTTGGAATGGATCAGATTAAAATGCTTTCTTTAATTCTTTTGAAGCGAAACCTTCTAAGTTGTTACCAAACTTTGGCATGACAGAGCATTGTTTGGGGAGTGGTTTTGACATATGACTATTTCCCATATCTAATCTGACTTTTGAAAAAAACAATGGTTTATTTCTGTATTGAGTTTCATCTACTGTGATGGACTTGACAAGCAAAATTTCTTAAAAAGTCTGATGATAACATACAAGCCAGGAAAGCTCCAGCTTATGAAAATGGACTGGAAAAGTCTTATGTTCATTTGTAGGTGAGAGCTTGGAAACTTTGTTAAATACCTGGAATGAAACCCAAGGCATGAGAAGTTGCATAAATGGATTTTACAGTACCATTTCCAGTTCTTGGCATTGCAGGGAGAAGGTATTTAATGTATATTGATACCATAGTATCTCCTTGATTCAGGACAGTTTCCATGTTAGCACTGCTTTTCTTAGCTTTGCAGGCAGAATGGAACTGAGATACAACAGATTGTTTTTACTTTAGCTAGAAAGCAAAGAAAAGCTGTGAAATTCTGGTTTTCCTTTAGAAAATTCTGAACTGAGGCATCAGATATGGAATATAGGAGATATGGCAGGGTTTTCTACAAGTAAATTCTCTCTGCTTCTAGCACTTGTGAGATTGTAAAGGAACACAATGGCACTTCCCCCTGTTTGAAGAATATGCATAATGTAGTAAAAATGGATTGTGTTGTGACCAAGAGACTGCAGTTTGAGAAAAGGAAGTTGTTTGTGACTGAGGGATGGAGCTTCAAGTCTGCTGGCTGGGAGCTGGGCTTGGATGTGTGCATCTCCTCTAAAATGCACATTTTCAGTGTGCTGATGGAGCCTGTGGGAGCCTTCCATTGTCTGTAGGTTTGTAATGCTCTCACCAAAGGCCTGCGTGTCTTCCGTTCTAGTATTGATCCGTGTGTGTATCCATGCATTTTCGAGGGACTGCTCTACTGAGAGCAGCTTCCTTCAGTGCTCAGTGCTGATGTTTCCCTGGATCACAGTCCAGCTAGGGCATTCAATGGGGCAGGTGTCATGGGGAAAAGTAGTGTGTGATGAGGTGACTTCAACTGCAACAGAATGCATGCAAATAAGGGTGGGAAGAGAGTTGTTTAAATAACTTCATGTATGTCTGTTGAACAGTTAGACATTCAAAAAAATACAAAAATAAATTGCAAATGCCTAGTTCTGTTCTGTGGTTCAGTTTCTCTGACCATACCACCAAAAAGCTGGGAGGCTGTTTTTGTTCTACAGGTGCATTTGTGGGTAGAGTGATCTTTTTAGTTAAATTTGTGTTTGACCTTCAAAAAACCCTTATATTTTAAATTGATATGTATATAATTTTTTTTCATATGTCAAAACCAACTTGTCCTAGAGGTTTCAAATAAAAGCCACAATCGTATTTTAGTAGATTTGCTGATGTAATTAGATTTCAGGTGGGGAGACCTGTGTTTGGTAATGTATTCAGTGCTGCATCACTGAAATTGAGGTGTGTTCTGCTGGCTCTTAGATTGTGGGGGAGAAATAAGGGAGTGGGGTGGATATTAAAGAGGCTGACTAGTTGTTCTCCTGTCTTAATGGCTCTGTGTGGAGTATTCCCAGTCACTCCCTTCTCTTTGGGTTTGGTACAGCATGGCTGCACTGCTTTGTTGCAGTGACTCTGGTGGTTTGCAAAGTACATGAGAAGTTAATTCACTCCACTAACCCAGGAGAACACTATTTCTTTTCTTTTTGTTTTGCTCTTTTTTTTTCTCCTTCCTCCCTTGGATTAGCAAATTGAATTATCTTATTGTGTGGTCAGCTGAGTGCCAGAGCAAGTACACAGAACGGGGTCAGCAGTGTCAAGCCAGGGAGAGGGGAATACTCATTTTTCCAGTAGCAAAGATAGATTTAATCTGCTTTACTGTCCTGTATGGCTGTCCCCTGCACCACTAAAGGCTGCTGTGGTCAGACAGGAGGTGGGTTATGTATTAACCCAAGAAAACAAAAAATTAAGATACTGGGTTTGTTCTGATAGTCTTTATTTGAGGTCCTTGATATGTAAAATGTCCACAGCCACAGACTAAACATTCAGAACCTATCTCTGGAAGAAAAAAAAATTTCTCTGGAAAGTAAATGTAAAAAAAGGAAGGACGAGTAGTTCTGTTAAGCATTGTGGCCTTTGTACTAGGATAAGCAGGATTTTTGGTCCAGGCTAATGTTGGTATCTTCTCCTTTATGGAATTTAGGGATGTAAATTTTCAAGTATTTTCATAGTTTTGTCTCTCCTAGTTACTAGTTTTGAAGTATGTGGGTTTTGTGAATTGTAGGATGGTTCTAGTAGGAAGTGGTTTTGAGAAAGAGTAAGTCTTTAAATTCAGAGATTAAAATTCAGAGAGTAAGTTTTAAAAACAGAGATTAAAACATAGTTTTTATTTTTATTCCTTGAATAGAATGTGATAAATTTTTCACATGTGAGCCCAGCAAAGCCCAGCTTTGTTTCT